TACAAAGGCCGAAGAGACTTCATGCGGAGGAATGGGAAGGTCTTCATCCTGCGGGTGGATCGGCGTTTCGGCCATTGCCTCAGGATCGGCCATGGGTCTCTTGCCGCGATCCGCCGTAGGAGGATGGACGGGAGGAGAGTTGGCTGGTCGAGGACGACGCTCCAGCGAGACTTCGTCACTCTCGCTCTCGACGTCCTGGAAAAAATTTCGTTACGACTAGAAGCCTAAAGAAACAAAGGATGGAAGTAGAATTATACCTCTTCCAGAAAGACCGTCGGTCGCTAAGTGGAGGGTGCCTTGACAGGTGTAGCCGACTCCCCCACGGCAGGTGCCATGATCGGCTCCGAAGCTGGAGCTGATACGATGACTGGATCGGCCGTGGTCTCAGGCAAAGAGACGGTTGGGGGAATCGGGTTTGAAGGAGCTGGGGCAGCCGGGACAGAAGGAGAGCCGGCAAGAACAGTTGTCCTTGTGGTGTCACTGGGAACAACATGAATCTCCCGGTCGTCTTTCTTCGCCAATTTCTTGACGCGTTTGGAAGGACGATGAGCGTCATCCTCCGGCTCAGCTTCTCAATGAGGGCATTTCGCGGAGCCTGTTTGCTCGGTGGCGATGGTCCTCTTCGTGGGAACCAATTTCTTCGACCTCGCCACCGCGGCGACCACTTCCACCTTCCTCGACACGCGACCCCCTGAAATAGCAAAGTAATTAATAACCGAGAGGACAAGCAATTGAAATACAAAGAGCGAAAAGACAATATACCTTGGATCGACTCCTTGGGTTGGGCCGAGGGCGCTGGTCTGGGGCGGTCGCCGAAGATTCTGCATACCACGTCTTCGGCCGAGACGCCGAAGAAGTCGCTGGTGTACTCCTCCCACCAATCCCCGAAGTTTTCGGTTCCCAAGGAGTACTCCTCCCACCGTCGGCCGGAGCCGGAATTTCTTGCACTTCTCCTGAAACTCCTGCTCCGACGTCTTACATTCCCTCTCAGAGGAACCAGAAAGACGTCTTCGACTCAGGAGGGACCGAGAACCAAGCAGGGGTACAGGGCAGCCTTGGAGGTAGCCAAGCTGCCGGGCGACGAAATGGGGATGGTAGACCTCCCAGCTGGCTCGGCGGGCATCGCAACCAAGAGGAAGATCGCAAGCCAGAACGAATGACCCCCAGCGTTGACGAATGTCCGCATCCTCAGACTCGGCCCATGCTGCCGTAGGGAGCCTGATCGAGGTAGGGTACTCCTGGTGCCGGCATACCAGGAACTCGTCGTCCGAAAGGACGTCAAGGCTGAGGAAGTGTTTGAGGACCTCGTCGGCTCGGTGAGGAGGCGCCGGTCGAGAGGCCAGTTGGAGGCCGAGGGCGGTCGATCGCTGAAAGGCAGGAACCTCCGGCCGAAGGGTGGAAAAGTAAACCTGCAACCAGAGTTGGAACACCCAGAGGGGTCCGTTCTGGTGCGGGTCAATCTTGTTAATAGTCGTCTCGGCTAAGCAACGGTAGAGGTTGGTGAGTATGGCCGGGCTGAGCGCCAAGGAACGACCATTAGCCAGTGCCTGGGCCACCGGCATGTTCTCGACTAGGCATTTGTTTGACCTGGTACAACAAATGAATTTGTTGTACCAGTAGAAGAGAAAAGCTTCGTGTTCTCCCTTCCTAAGGCTTTCCTTGCCTCGGCCGGCGAAGTGAAAGATGAGAGTGTTGTAGTTGAAGAAGTTCTTGTGGAGCTTTTGAACTTCTTCCCTTGAGGGCTCCCGGTCGCCCCGACTAAGCGTCTCAACGGCCCGTTCGTCGAATAACGCCTTTAGGTCGAGAGGAGAAGGGCATCCGGAAAGGGCGGCATCGATGGGAAGGCCGGTTGGAGAAGTCCCAAGGATGGCCGAAATGTCGAGGACTGTAAAGCCGAGAGGACCGAAAGGCAGGATCATGGTGTTGGTGGCCGAACACCATAAACTCAGGGCCGCCATAAGCAACTCCTTGTTCATGGCAATCTCCATGGTCAAAAGAATGATGGCATCATAGATACCAAGAGTTTTCCACTCCTTGCCGAAGAATGTGCTCATTCGGTCAACCCAGGCGGCCCAGGCTGTGGTGGTCGAGGGCCAGGCTCCTTGAGGTCGCACCAGAGTCCATTTCGACCAATCGAACCCCTGCAGTAGGGGTATTAAGCACTGCTCCTTGAGAAGGTTAGTGATGGACGACGGTACTGCGTCCTTGAAAAGGGGGCCCAGAATCTGGTGGGTAATGGCCATGTCGTTTTCAAATCGCAGCGTCTTGATGGCGCTCCAATCGATGAAGTCCTTGCATTTGCTGCACTCGTCAAAGAGCTTTGAGATAAAGGAAGCCATTGATGGAGGAAAGGATTTGGGGTTAAAAGAGGAGGTTGCAGGAAGAACTTGAAGGCGTTGCTTGAACAAACGGGAATGATAAAATAAAGATTTCGAAATTTCTGAAGGCGTGGGCTGCGAATGGCAGAAGTTTGGGTTTTTATAGGCTTTTCAGGATGAAGATCAAACGTTTGGTATTCGAAAAGTACTGGTTCAAATTGGGGGGAAATTTAACCGGGAAAAGGTCCCAATCATTTCGGATATTTTGGGAACCTGCGAGGATAGGATCGAGGTCTCGAAGATCCAGGACGCACGATTACGTGCGGCGGTGGTTTTAATGCATTAATGAGGAAGAGACGCTTCAGTGGGTGCACGTTTTCGAGGGCCATGATTGAAAGCCGTTAAGATCGACGGAGAATCAACACGTGGCTGTACGTTGGGGGTAACGAGGAGAGTGCAATCATGTCTCATAAATGTGCGCAAGTAGTGGTCATCAAGGGAAATAAAGTCCGAAAAGCAATAGGCGTTTCCGCTTCTTCAAGGTCGAGGCCCGACCAAAAGTTAACAGTCGGTGACCTCAGAAGCGAGGGGGCAATGTTTGGGCCCAAAATAATATTGTTGGGCCGAGCAGCAGGATATGCTCGGCCCAAGGCTGTGTAAATACTATGGGCCGAATGATAAATCCCGGGCCAGTTGCCAGGGTCGGACAAGTCCTATCCTAAGTAGTCCAGATAAACAGAAAGGGTCGAGGAAGTCCTGGTACGACCTGGATTCCCGACTGGCAAAGAATAAAGCCTCGAAATGGGGGAAAGTTCAGAAACCCAGTGGGAGTAGGTGTGTTCGAGTTAGAGTTGAAACAGGACAAGGACTCCCAATCCGGATCAGGATGCAAATCGGTCTCAAGGAATGGGGTGCTATAAATACAAGAAATCACGCAACAGAAAAACCTCCTTCAATCCAGCATACAATTGCCCTGCGCAAAACCTCTCAAATACCTTGAGATTTTTCCTTTCTTTTTCTGCCGACATATCTTCAGTTTGGATAAACAGCACTGTGGAGGCACCGGGCGGGCATCTTCAGTTTGGATAAACAGCACTGCTGCCGCAGAATCAGCCGACCGAGAAGCACCTTCAGTTTGGATAAACAGCACTGCATCGAGGCCGACCGATTACCTATCTAAGTCTCGACCGAGAAGGGTTTTCGAACCCTTGTTGGTAGAGGTCATCTTGCTAGCCTTCTCGGCATAGTCAGGTGTTACAAATTGCGTTACTCGGCGTACTGGACGCCGAGTGATTTTATGATTGGATACTCGCAAATAAGTTTCAGGGTTCGGCATTCCGACGGCCGAACTACGTTTACCATCAAGACATACATCACATTTGAGTACCTGTGCCCATATAGTTTGGTCTCGATTCGACGTGCTTATACTCTTATGAATATAATCACAGTGACCGAATCGGGCTCCGACGATTTGTGAACTCCGCAGAATTAGTAGCCTTGTCTTCAGGCTATAGAACCCAGAGACCGAGAGTGTTCCTTCCTCGGTCGCAATCGCAAGATAGAAGTCAACGACGCGCTCAACGCGACATCACCGAATTTTACTCCTCGGCCAAGCTCGGCCGACGAGTTAGCACGCCCCGCATTCAACCGAATGACGTAGTTAGCTTATTAGTTACTTGGCCTGCGCGCCACGTAGGTTTTGTAATTTTTAGAGACAACAGTGACCCACTGGGAAGTTGCTCGTGAGTTCCCAAAAACAAAACCGTGAGGGCGTGGTTGGGGCCCAAAGCGGACAATATCGTGCTACGGTGGTGGAGCGGGCCCGGGAAGTGGTCTCGCCCAGACGGGGATGTGACAGATTGAATAAAATGTCATTAATTAGCTAATAGAGACAAACACGATGACTAAATTAGCCAAATCGAAAACACGGGAGCTAAGTTGGCCATATGACTTAACACATAGAACATTTTGATATTTACACGTTATTGAACGCTTGAGTAATAATTCAAGCATCAATATCCATTGATTTCTCTAGCATTATCTTTGAGGAAATGCAAATATTTTATATAAGGAAAATTAATGAAAATGACTTGAAAACTTTGAGTTTTAATGATAAGGACAAAATAAAAGGTAAAGTGAATAGTACCAGGATTGATTTTTTAGTGTAAAAATATGATTTTTCGTTAAAGTGAATAGTATCGAAAACTTTTCGTTAAATTTCTCTTTTATATATCATTAGGAGAAAAAGTGAATTTCCGGTAGGTTTTGGGATATGCACTAAAAAGGAACAGGATCCTGTCCTAATCTAAGGATGAGGATCCTCATGACCAAAGGATATGGGCCGTTGGATGAAAATCCAACTGCTACAAACAGGGGGTCCTTTAAAGTTATAATAATTATAACCGTTGGATTTTCATCCAACTGCCCACATCCTTTGATCATAAGGATTTCACCCAACGGCTACAAACAGGGGTCCTTTTAAAGTTATAATAATTATAACCGTTAGATTTTTATCCAACAGCTTACATCCCTTGATCATGAGGATTCTCATCCTTAGATTAGGACAGGATCCTGATCCCACTAAAAATAGTTCTTAGAGAGAGGAATTTTATATTGGCCTGTAAAAGAGAGAACCTTTGCATATTCTGTGGTCCGTAAACACCCGATGGTAAATGCGGGCAGAGGAGGTCTCAGACAGCCTTCAGAAAACGCACTCTAGCCTCTCTCTCTCTCTCTCTCACTCTCTCTCTTTCTCTCTCTCTCTGTTATAACTTATAAGCAGCTTTCTATATACATCCAAGAAGTGGAAGAGGACCTGAAGGAGGAGGGAGAAAAAGCCTTTTCTTTCCACAATTGAGGTGACAGTTTTTATCCATTTGTGTTTGGTAAAGAGTAAGAGAGATTTTATCTTTCACTGCATTTTCTTTGACCGACCTATCGATCGTGTTAGTGTATGTGTTTAACTTTTTCGCTTTGGGGAGTGCTGCCTTTTCTGGTGCTTTTGAGCTTAATTATACGTCCATGCATGCCTTTGCCTAAGTTGTGAAGTCTGTTGTTTTAGTTTTCACTCTCAAGAATTTCCCAGTTTTTGTTTCAGACGGTATTGCCTTTTTTTAGTTAACCTCATCATTTTCTTCTGAGATGATAAAGATCTTACATAGATTACTGTCTGTTGTTTTAGTTTTCACTCTCAAGAATTTCCCATTTTCTTGTACCTTTCACAAGTTTTTATTTATTTGACAAAGATCTTACAATTGGTTTTTGTCTATCTGTAGTTCTGGAAAATTAGCATTAGCAAATAAGATCTTCAGACTTGGGTAAAATCTCTCTCTACTTGTTCCAATTGAGAACTCTTATCATCTGGTTTCTGTCTAATTTCTTCTTTCTTATATCTTTTTTTTCTTTTCCAGAAAATAACAAAAAAATGGTAGACAATAAGACCTAATGCATAATTTGAATAATGGGGTGTCCCTAGATTTCCAAAATGTACTAGGAATCTATAAGTTAGCAGCACCCCAGTTTATAAATTGTTTAGTCTATTGTGATTTACTTACTCATATGGTTTATTTTATTTACCTTGATATTGTCAGATCAAGAAAAGATGGTTGGCTAAACAATCTTTTATTTTTACTTTTATAAATCTCGTTTTGATTAATCGTGCAGAGTTGATTAATTAGATGGTGTTGGTTAAAAGCTGTGATCTGCAACAGCAGTACACAAGTACAGCAGCCTGAGAAAGGATGCCAAACCAGCTATGGTTTGCACTGCCAATGATTTGCAGCAGTGGAACGATTTCCCGAAGGGCCTCAGAGTTCTTCTGCTTGATGGAGACACCACTTCTGCTTCCCAGATAAGATCAAACCTTGAGGCAATGGATTATATTGGTTAGAGATTCTTTCTTTCTTGGCAAAACAATTTTGTTTCCGAAACTAGAAACATATTAATTTCACTTTTTTCTCATTTGTTCGTTATCATTCCAGGAGTATGCTGGTCTCCATTTTCAAAAGCATCTTAATTATAATGCTTGTTTATATAGATGCATTCTCTATTTCGTTTAGATGTCGATTTGGATTTTAGTCGTATGGAGCTTAGGAAGCTACCTGACCATGGAAGAAGGATCAATGCTTGCAATTCTCAACACCACCATTGGTTTTATTTCCCTTTTTGTTTTGTTTACTTTTTTGTTAAATTGAATAGTTGGCTAGGTGTTTGAGTTAAAATAATGTAACTCTCTGAGCTAAACAGATGTGTTGAATGCAGGGAAAAAAATTTATGCTGTTTAGATCTAAATAGCTTAATGACATATATAGTAGTGCTGGTTTAATTCTAAATGACTATACTGCTTTAGTTTAATCTGTTTGTTTCACTGTTTGGCTTGCGTATACACATTTTGGGTAACATTATTGTGTTGATTGCAGTTACTGAATTCTGCAATGAAACCGAAGCATTGTCAGCATTTTCAAGCAACCCTGAAAGTTTCCATGTTGCAATTATTGAGGTAATGAACTTAAAACGAAACTATAACGTAATTTTGTTATTTTCAAAGAAGTTTAACATGCTTCTGCAGAGCAATGATTCTTAATAGCTAATTTAAATGTTTTGATGACAAAAGCAATCCACTCTGTTCATTGGTCCCAGGTAAACAATGGCCATTGGGGTTTCCAATTTCTTGAAACTGCTAAAGAGTTGCCTATCATTAGTAAGTTTAGAAAGTAATTCTAACCATTTTAAGTTCGCCATGAAACTGTGTTCTGAATTTTGTGATTTGTAGTTCGTTTCTATTTTAGTTCTTTAAACATTTTGTTTGTTAACCCGCTTAGTTCTTTCTTACAGTGACTTCAAACATTCATTGCCTGAGCACCATGATGAAGTGTATAGCAGTGAGCTATCTGCTCTGACCTGTTAATTAACGCTTCAATGGAACCGACAATTTTGTGATTCAAGTTTAGCTCTACCGTTTTATTACTCAAACCAAAACTGAAGTTTCTAACTTCATTTCCCTCATATGTTGTCATGTCGGTCTATTTTCAGCTTGGTGCAGTTGAATTCCTGCTTAAACCAGTCTCTGAGGACAAACTTAGGAATGTTTGGCAGCATGTGGTCCATAAGGTCTGTCGAGTGTGGAAACGTTGTTTCAAGATCTACAACAAAGTATTATGCAATTCTTGCAAGTAGAAATTTTCTGATTTTGTAAATCCTGAGCAGGCATTCAATGCAGGAGGAAGTCCCATCTCTGAAACGCTCAAGCCTGTCAAAGTGTCGGTAGTATCCATGTTGCAGCCCAAACAAGAAAATGAAGAACAGAACTGTAAAATCTCAATAGAAACAGAAAACGTGATACGGGTCCATGAAAATGACCAAGAACAATCAGCAGGGAGTGATAAGTACCCAGCTCCTTCAACGCCGCAGATTAAACAAGGATCACGATTACTGGATCATGGAGATTGCCAATATCAAATTAACTGCATGTCAGAGAAGGTGAGCGGGGAGAATGGCAGTGAATCTAAATCAATCGAAACTATGTTTTGCAATCCAATTGATGAAAGGAATCTTCACACGAGAGAACCTCATCATATGCCTAGGAAGACGGTGATTAAAGAGGAAAATGACTCACGTGATGGGTCTAAGAGTGAGGTTAATATGTCCCATCACCCGGATAATATAGACAGTGGCAATGATAATGGTGGTGCTGCTGAAAATCTGAGTAAAGCATCAGTTCCCAATACTTCATGCAAATCTAATCGGAAGAAGATGAAGGTACTTAATTTAACAGTCAATATCATGATAGATTGTTTGAGCTTTTTCAATTCATACCCTTACTAGTGCAGACAACATTTATTTGTGTTGGTCATGCATTAGTGCACTAGTTGTCCTCTTGGAAAATTATGCACTAAGCTGTGCTACTTCAATTACTGAGTACGTAAGCGCACTTGAAGATTTTGAAAATCTTATTACACTTGCGATTTTATGTTTGGTTTCAGGTAGATTGGACACCTGAACTGCATAAGAAATTCGTGAAGGCAGTAAAGCAATTGGGTGTGGATCAAGCCATTCCTTCTCGAATACTAGATCTGATGAAAACTGAAGGTTTGACGAGGCATAATGTAGCAAGCCATCTCCAGGTGCGTATTTTTCTAATTCTTTTATAACCAATCATGTTCTGTTTCGTTATAATCATTTCCTTGAGTGATTGAACAATTTCAGGTTGCGATTGCAAGCAAACATTTTTATACTCGTTATTTTATAATTACCGAAACACATTCCTATGATTGCTGATGATCCAAAGCTCAGCTCTATCCTATCGATTCCCATGAATGGGATAAAATTTGTGTCCAAAAAACTCTTCTACCTGCCAGTTAAAGCTTCAGTTATTTTAGTTAATCCTTTTTTGTTGAGTGTTCATACCATATTTGGCATTTAGTTTGTGAACATGAGATGATTGATTAGTATTGTTACCATGCAACCAGAAATATCGCATGCATAAGAGACACATTCTACCCAAGGATGAAGACCAGAGATTGCTGTGGCCGCATCATCCTCCAGGTGCTAGAGATCCAACTCACCAAACGAGTTATTATCCTCGTAGTCACAGGCCTATCATGGCCTTCCCTCCACATCATTACAACAATACCACTCTATCAATGCCACCGGCCTATCCTATGTGGGGATCACAGCCACCTGCCGGCAGTCATCCAGCCACCGTCCAGATGTGGGGCCAACCTGGCTATCCCCATTCTCATTGGCAACTGTCAGATCAAAGTTGGCAGTACTGGAACCCTTATCCAGGGGTAATGTATTGTCCGTCATCCTCACGAGTAAATATATATTGTAAATAAAATCTGTTTGTGTTTAAACCCTAAACCCTAAACCATACAGATGCAAGCTGAAGCATGGGGTTGCCCAGTAATGCCACCTGAGCAAGGTGGCTATTCCTCTTATCCTCAAGTGAGTATGCCAATGAATTAAAATTTCTACTACACTTTGGTTATATATGTAATATATACGCACAGGTGTTGTTTCACACTCATTTGTTTGCAAATTGCAGAATGCATCAGGTTTTCGAAGTGCAGGAGGTCATGCAGTTGAAAACGGCCATAGGTACAGCATGCCACGAAACTCTTTCAACATTCATCTGGTAACACCACAAACCCAGCTTCTTCGTTCGTGCACGTTGTTCTAAATTTGGACATTGCATCTAATTAAACTTAGTGAAAACCTTGAATTTCTACTGTGACACACAATTTCAAGCGCGAGGCCTTGAATGTCTGTTCATTTTCTTGACTGAAATGCCCTTCCGTGTGACGAGGGGCTCACGAGGTTAACCAACAGTAGTTTACCAGACATTGCAATTCAAAGTGGGACTCGTTTTTGAATTGCAATGTTTGATAAACTACTGGTACCAAAAGTGAAATTTAGCCTTCAACTGTTATTTGTCCAATTTGTCATCATTTTGTGTGAAAAGCATTATAAAAATCAAAATGAACAAGGAAAAGCCACTCATTCAATTATATGATCGAGAACGACTTTGTGTCTGCACCAAAATAATGCTTATCCATGCTGGGCTAAAATTTCGGTTGAATCATTTGCTACTTGAATTAGACAATACATTTTATGATACGCTATGACTACTTTGGCTTCAAAACTCATATTTGCATGCAAAATTACTTGACGGAAATCGTTATTAGTACTTCAAAATGGTTGTCACGTATATATTTTCAGTCCTTTTGAAGTGCCAATGATAGCTCTGGGACATATTTAACCGTCAGGGTAATATATATTCTGCAGTCAGAAGAGGTGGTTGACAAGGTTATGAAGGAGGCAATAAGCAAGCCATGGCTACCCCTCCCTTTAGGCCTCAAGCCTCCTTCCACCGAAGGTGTACTAGCTGAGCTAACAAGGCAAGGCATCTGCAACATTCCTCAGATCAACGGCTCCCATACACAGGGCTAGTGTTGTCCTCCTCCCTTCACTCAGCTAATCAAGTCAAAGTCCATAACTACGTGTACAATTTAGGCACCAAGGTATTCTTTTTCTGTCAAATTTTAACATGTTTTGGACACTTGATTTCTGAGGCCGTGGGGTCAAGGAGAACGAGACTACATCATCGATCGTCATCCAAAGCGCTCCCTACGGAGGGAGACAGTAAGCTTTTGACATTTGACAATTGGGATGGCCATGAATTAGACACGTTTCCTCGTCGTGGCGAAATTATTCAAAATTGCTCATTGTTAATAGTTCCAAAAGACAAGGGCCTAGCTAGTGTGTTTGTTGCACATATTATCTGGAACTAGATTAGTTTCAGATATTAATTTGGACTGGTTTAGAATAAATTAAGATAAACTGACTTAATAAAATATTTGGTACAATGTCGTACTAAGAAGCAAAATGATAAAAATTAATTCTCCTTTTTATTTTTTTCTGTTCTTTTTCCTTTTCCTTTTATAAAACTCTGTCGAAAGCTCTCCCTCTTTTCCCATCCGGCTCCCGTCTCTACTCTCTCTTGATGCTCTCATCGTTCTGCTTCGTCTTCTTCGGCGGCGCCATTTTCGATTCCACTCTCTCTAGCTGCGCCGATCTTGCAGCTCAAGATGGACGAGGACTCAAAACTTGATCCACCCAAGAAGCATTTTGAGTAAGAAGATACGGTTGCAGAGGATTTCAAGCTGCTGTGGTTGCATAAGAGGTGCGAAGCAGACAAAGCGATGCGAAGCAAACGGAAAGGTTTTGGCGAAGCAGTCTTACCAGTCCTCTACCTTTTCGGGGGAGGGTTTTGCTAAGACCGCCTGATAAAGCATTTTGTTGACACGAATCCGACTTAATTTCAGTAAAATTCAGTCTTTACTCGCACCAAACATGGACCAGTAACCGTTGCTAAGCCCGTTATAACAACCACGCCCTTGGTGTGAAAAAATAATAATAATAATCATAATAATAATAATTGAAGGGACAGCTGTTTACTCAGCCATCTGCCTTTACCACAAGAGCAGTTTCACCTCTAAAAACTTTGCGCTAGCACCCAGCGTATTTATCCATTCAAGTAAACAGTAATAGACCTCAGTGAACAGCAATAGATTAAAGCATCTTCACCCCTAAAAAAATATGTTGGCACAAACGATCTCCACCCCTACAAAATGCGCAGGCACCCAGCTCATTTAAAATATTTTATATTTTTTTAAAAGGAATAAATAAATAAAAATAGTTTCAGATAAGATTTTTAACCAATTTCAGATAAAATTTCAAATAAACTTAAAAAAAAAAACACACTAAAATAAAATTACATACTCATCAAATAAAATTAAAAAAAAAACACACTAAAATAAAATTACATACTCATCAAATAAAATTAAAAAAAAAACACACTAAAATAAAATTACATAAACTCATCAAATACACTTTATTCTTCAACCACAAGCTTATTTTAATTATCTTCACCTTCTTGCAATCCCCACTGGTGCTCAATCAAGTCATTCTGGCGGGTTACGTACCAGTATGGCTCTTGCACATCAATGTACCGATGAACGATCAATTCATTGTAACGTCCATCCCGTTCCAACGGCTCGTGTTGCACAGGATCTTCGGTCCGGTCATGAGCACAGTAGATACGTGTTCTTAAGTTGTTCATCGGATCCAGCTCATATTCATCGACGACATCATAATCATACTTATCTTCCACAATCATGTTGTGGAGAATAATATAGGTCATCATGATGGATCGAAGAGCCTCGACATCAAACATTCTACCAGCAGACCTGACAATCGCCCAACGAGCTTGCAGGATACCAAAACAACGCTCCACATCATTCCTACACCGCTCTTAACATTTTGCGAAGTGTTTTTCTTTCTCAGTCTATGGATGTGGCACTGTTTTGACAAACGTGGACCACCTTGGGTAAATGCCATCTGCAAGGTAGTATGCTCCGTCATATTTAGTGCCATTAACCCAATATGTGCATCTTGGCGATTTTCCTTGTAGCAGATTGTCGAACATTGGAGATTGAGCAAAGACATTTATGTCATTCTGAGCTCCTGGACCACCAAAAAAACATGTCAAATCCATGTATCAAATGAAGCCACTGTTGGAAGTATGCCCACAAAGCCACTCATTTGATGTGATAGCTTTTTGGAATACTTATTGTGTTAAACTTTTATATGTTTAATAGAGGGCAAAGCTTATTGTTAATCACTATTTATAGTATCTTGTGTTTAAGCAATAAGGGAATCCAAGGAATGTATTTGATCTAAGAGACAAGTGATTTAAGTTAGTTAAATTAACGGGACCTTTCTCTTATGTTCATTCCTAAAACATTCCTAGCCATAGGATTGCCAATTGGGCATTGACAATCCGCTAAGGTTAGTATGTGTTATGTCGACTCAAGCGTGAGTATGAACTAGTCTCAAGTCATTTGGTGTTGGACACTAAGGCAAACACATAGGTGCTCGAAAGAGTAATCGAGTACACTGAACTACGATCAAACGAGAGTTCGAACATACATGTCATGTGAGAACTCAATAGTTGCAATATGCAAAGTAGTCCTTTGACCTGAGGCATCATTGATGTCTAATGGTTAGGTCTTTGATCTTTGATTATGTCAACGGCATTCCATTGGAGTGTCCACGGCATTGTTGGGGTCAAGCTATCTAGTCATGTAGGCATATGAATGCACAACAAGGGATCTCTAACCTTCCATGGTGGAAGGAGAATACTCTAAGATATGATTCGAGAGTCTTTGGCCAAAGCATATGAATATGACTAAGGAAGTTTGTTCCAAATCTTATTCAATTGAATCATATAGAGAAATATCACATTGGATAGTAGACATGAAACAAACTATCACTTAAACAATGTGATTAAGAGTATTGTATTAGAGAAGGACCGTATTGCATTGTAGTTGTAACTGGATAGGTTCTCCAACCACTTCTACTTAGCTTGGGTAACCATGACATGCTGCTAGGCGTCACCCATGGTTTGTGGAAGCCCTAAAGATTAGCAAACACTAATTTTAAGGGAGAATTGAAATGTGGTTTCAATTCACAATCGATCGTTAAGAGTAACATCGCCCACTACCTCGCTAATTAGAACCTAATGGATCGTACACCGAGTAAGGATATAAGTGAAGAAATTATATGAAATGGATAAGCAATTAAATGGTTTAATTGAAGAATGGTCAAGATTAATTAAATAGTTAATTAATTATACGAAACGTTCGTATTGGGCGTTTAAGTTAGTTTTTGGGCTTCAGGGCACAAAAACGTTTTGGTCCACAAGGCCCATTATGTTTAAGTTGTATGACAACTAAAACAAAATGGGCAATTAAGCCCAATAACAAATGGAGGCCGGCCATATCAAGGGTAGTGGGAACTTTTGCTTAATTGCAAGTTTGCCACTAACCTAAGAGATGAAGTATAAAGTCATCTTTATAGCTTTGTTTCTAATTAGGGTTTTCTAATGGAATTTGGGTGAAACATATTCTCTCATTTTCTACATAGAGGCCGGCCACTTAGGGGAGGAACATCTAGCAATCTTCTTCTTCCCTAAGTCATCCATTTCATCTTCACACTACATCTTTGGTGTGGAGACTTAGAGACACCAAACCTTTGGTGTTTTTGGAGAACAAATCCTCAAATCCTCAAAGAAGAAAAGGAGCACTAAAAGGGAGGAAATCACAAGGAAGATCCAAGGAGCAAGGAGGTGACTTGAAGGCCCTCCACTTGGGTGAATCCCTTGTGTAATCAAGGATGAGCTTCAAGGGTAAAGAATCTCTAAATTCGTATTCTCTTTAATATTGTTAAAGAGTCTTATGGTTCACCATATACTAGGCTTTGAAAGTCATGGGTTTTATGAATTGTTTTTGAATGCATGCCTACTTTAAAGTGTTATTAGTATGCCTATGTATTCAAATGTTCTTACATGTTCTTAGCTAGGACAAAATTTTTCCTTCAACCACCGCTTCCAAAATGATACTTTTGACTCATTTTCTGTCACCATAAGCTCATTACCACTCACTTGGACAGTTTTTCCAAGTCCAGTGCATGCAGTCAATGCTTCCAATCATGCCAGGGAAGCCTCGCATCTCACCCTTCCTCAGAAGCCTTTGCATGTCCCTTGTCATGGGTGTCCGGAGGTACTCATTGGTGTACAGGGCTTCAATTGCAGAGCAAAACCGCATCAGGGACTCCAGAACAGTTGTTTTTCCCATCCTCACGATCTCATCCACTTAATCTGCATATGCTCTATATGCAAGCATTCGCAAGGCAACCGTAATTTTTTGCTCTAGAAAAAAACCTAGAACAGGAAAAACATCATCTTTTTGCACAAAATATGGATCATGGTTGCAAATAGCACTCATGATTTTGTTGAACAAACTTCGTTGCATTCTAAAACAACGTCTAAAAACATGAACAGAAAATACGCTGTTGGGAATAAAATAATCTTCCAAGATATCTTTACCTCGTCTTTCCCTTTTTTCTATCGAAGTTTGTGGCACGTCTGAGTTTGGCTATCTGACCCACAGCTTGCATGACACGGCGGGAATGTGAGGCCATCTGCCTTCTATGGTCATCATCCGAGTCCTCCTCCATTGCGAAAGCCTCATCTCCACGTCCACCTTCCTCGAGATTGATCAATTCTTCTTGTTGTGCCAACAATCTTTTCTGTTGCTCCACAAATTGTTTATGCACTCTCCTTAAAGAAGACATTGTAAAAAAAAACTCATGATTTGAAAACGATGAAGATGGATGTAGAGATTTATGGTTTATATGGACAAAAAAAATTAAGGATGAGCTTTTTGGTATTTCTATCACACAAAAAGTATATGAAAGCTTTGTTAGAAAGTGTAGAAAATATTGAAATGTGGTGTAAGGTGGAAGATGAGGGTTAGGTATTTATAGAAAAAAAAAAACTTTTCTGTATTTTTTAATAATTTTTCTGTATTTTTTCATAATTTTGAATAAATTTTAATATAGTTAATTAATCTAGATCGTTGGATTTTTTTCATAATTCTGACCGTTAGGCCTTTATTTATTTTTTTTATTTTTATTTTTGGTGAAAAAAACATGGACCGTTAATCTGTGATCGGACGGTCCATTTTAAAAGTCAAATTTAAATTTTTTTTATCATTGGAAATCCAACAGCATTCAGAGGGCCACGTCGTCTCCTTCTGGGTGAAGCACAAATGGGCTGACAGCGGGCCCCACTACCTACACCTTTGTCCCCTACTCGCGCCTATTCACGAGTGAGTTGCACGCGCCAGGAAAATAGCCCAGTTCCTTGGTC